TGTGTGTGTGTGTGTGTGTGTGTGTGTGTGTGTGTGTGTGTGTGTGTGTGTGTGTGTGTGTGTGTGTGTGTGTGTGTGTGTGTGTGTGACACTGAAACTCAGTGGAAGTCAATGAGTGTCTGTTTGATGTCCACTCTCCTCCTATAGGAGCTGGTAAGGCTGTCCAGCTGGAGGAGGAGGAAGAGGAGGAGGAAGAGGTCACCCCCACAGCTCCATTCCCTCGTTCTCCTCCATCGCCTCCCACCACTTCCACCTTCCAGCTCCCCAGCCCCCCCCTCACCCCGGGGAGCCCCGTCACCCCCTCAGCCCCGAGCCCAGTGGAGGGGCCGGGGACCTCCGAGTGTGTGGTCTGCATGGAGACCGGGGTAAGAGAAACCTTCAGTCTCAGTCACTGGTTTCACATCAGCGTGGTTTCCAGGTGAAACGGTGCTTCGTGCTCAGGCTCCATTTCCGTTTCGCCTCTACCTACTTGTGTTTCATCCTTTCTTTATAACTAATGCTGTTGATGTGTTGTGATTTTAAAAAGGTGTCTTTTATCATCTGGACAACAGCTGGAAATTAGCAATGTTGGCTAAAGCTGCTTCATTTACATTTTTTTGTGACAGTTGATTAATGGGGACTGTCCACGACACTATAAACAAATAAACTAAACTAAGTCGTCGTAAGGGTCCAGTTTCCAGCTAGTGAACCCTGAAATGAGGAGTACCTACTAGTCTTATGTTAGAAATGTATAGTACGGGTCCCAAGCACATAGAAACTGCCGGATGCTAACTTGCATATGTTGGGACATTTGCACGATTAGCATTCGTTTGGCTGATTTGGAGAATTATGGAGTGTTTTAGGGGGTTATTGAAAATGCTGAATCCATTTCTGACATTTTCAGGATCAAAAATGGCAGTTTTTTTTTACCAGAAAGTGGCCATATTTGTACTCTAGACAGTCTTTGTTGTTCTTTGTGTGCCAGCCCACTGATTGTGACTTCCTGTGTCCAGTCTCAGGTCATCTTCCTGCCCTGTGGTCATGTCTGCTGTTGCCATGGCTGCAGCGGGGCGATGCAGAGCTGCCCTCTGTGTCGCAGCAACATATCTCAGCGCGTCCGTCTCTACACCAGCTAGGACCGCCTGCACGGTGCACCTCTCTGTGTTTATGCATGGTTATAAAGCTGCTGACATGTAAACAAAGGCTTCTGTCAGATAATCCAAGAGCTGAGTCACTTTCCTGTATTAACCAAACAGTAATCTGTGAAGCAGAAACAAGACTTATTAGGATCATTTTAATTATTGTGTGTTGGCATCCTGTTTTATTTTTAAATTGAATATACTTTTATCGTTGTATTATATATTTAGAGCCGAGTGGACTCCACCACCCACTGACTCTTCTCTGCCTTATCATCTGTTCAATTGATGTGTGCCTTTTTCTAGAAATATCTTTTTAAATACTATGTGTCTGTGTCGAAGATATACGTATCCAACATTATATACGAGTCATTTCCTGTGGGCTGGTTGCCCTCATCTATTGCTCTCACTAATCTACTGTTACCATGGGTACCTGTATATCACTTCATATCAACACAGGTTGAGGGGACCCTCCTTTCTCAGCTGCTGTGCACGATCAGTCCCTCCCACTCTCTATATCACATGACTATAAATCCACAGCTGTTTCATACAGTGTAACATGGCCCAGGTTCGGTGTGTGGAATGGTAAAAATGTGCTCAAAGGGAACTGATTTTAGATTTAGATGTGTATCATGTTCAGTCGTCAGAGTGAACAAACGTATCTCAGCTTTGGCTTGGAGACTGATGCTTTCTAAAAGGGAACCTGCCGTACAAAGAGGGGGTATAGAGTTTGAAAAACATGGATCAGACCCAAATGAACAAACCCAAATCCAGTGGCTTTATGGGAGATACAATGATTTTGAAGCTCACCTGGATGAGGTCTAAACGTTAGCTGCTCTGATGTGTAACCGTTCTTTAAAAAAAATCTCTCACTATACCCCAGGCTTTACGAAAAGAAAAGTCAAACTGGCAGAGGACCACTTCAAAACTTGTTATGTTCCTACTTCTCCACCCGAAGTATTCAAATAACCCAGAGACCAATAGGACCAATGGACGGTAACCCAGTCTTGGACCTCCCTTTACTTTCTCCCCCCCTTGTCTCTCTCATATCTGTTGTTCCCTCTCTTATCTGAGTTGCTGTTTCGGGTGCACATGTACGAACTAACAGCCCATCAGCTGTGTAGCCATCACTAATGCTGTTCTACTCTATAAGTGCTCTTAGCTCTCAGCATGCTTCAGGAAATATCTTCACCTACTGTGTATGACTGTTACTGTTTTCACTTCTATACACAATCTTATCAAATCTATACAATCTTGCATTTCATGTCAGCTTACTGTGATATTAAATATGTGTTGTCCTCTGCTCGCCTTGTGGTCTGTTCGAAAGCGTTGTGTTTCTGAGGAGGTAATCTGTCAAATAAACAGAGCTTACTCTATGCTAACCTAACAAACAGTGGACAGACTTCACTGACATAAGGAAGACTAAGAGAAACAATAACTCAATTACAAATAGCCCAGTAATATAAATATCTTAGTAACTAACTGAGACAAGAATAACCAACGGCTTGTACTCTACAGAAATAAAAAGGGACGCCTTTCCCTATTCCATCATTGAGTAAGCCGATGGATATTTCCTATTCTATTCAATACATAATAATGCCAGCACACAACATAAGTAAGTAAAGTAGTGAATTCAATGAGTCCATGAAACAAGCAAATTGGGGAGATTATCAGCAGATTATGTCCTTTCAGAGTTGAGTTTTTCCTCTTTGCTTTTAGAAAGTTTCGATAAGAGTTCTGTCTTTGTTTCACGTTTCCACACTGTGGTCTTATCCTGTGAAATTTGTCTTTAAAGTTCCTTGAAAAGCAATTCAAACTTTAAAAAAATAACGGTTTAATTTTGTTTTCCTCATAGAAACGAATGAATAGCTTATAGACCAAAAGGCCAAATGTACTTTTAAATAATACAATTGTCTCACACCCATTAAATTGAAGAAGGCCTAATGACAACTGCCTCTCAAGTGGCTGCCTTGTTTCAGCTGTCCTACCGCTGAGTAATTTCTACTTGTACATTTCCCGTCTGTGTGGCGAATAAAGATATTCTAATTCTGATTCCCATGACCCCCAGGTTGTGAACCAGTGGTTTAAAGGATCTGCTTTAGGGGGCACAGCTATCAGCACTCAGAGGATTTCATGTGAGGACCATAGGTGAGAAGTGAGGACACATCAGTGTGTGACTGTACCAACCTGTGTTACCTGAATGTGTGCACTACAAATATAATCTAATAGACTACCAATACCTAAAAAACGGATGTATTAAACAAATGCTATGAGTATACCTGTTTGATGATCTGTGTGCAAAGTGCAGGAGATCAACAACCCTCATTTATGATAAAACATACATCAGGTAAATGTGAATATTGTGGCAATGACGACAATGTTGATTTGCAATGTCTAAAATACCAGCAAGAACGTTAAAGGAAGCTCTGAACAGAAACCAAACAGGTTTAAATATAGTAGAGATGTTGCGATGGAGTTCAGGGATGTAGCAGACAGGACAGTATTTGGGTTTTTAAAAAGGACAGGGAGGCTACACCGTGCTGATCCACACTCCTTTCCAGAAGGAGGCGGTAAACACACCTTTGCAAACCGCCATTCAAACAACAGACGATGACGAAGAGCCAATCAGAACGGGAAGCTGGCCTGCCGTAAAGTGTCACGTTGTTGTTTACAATGTGGAGCTGCTGTCCTCACTGAATGGAGCTATCTGTTAAATCTATTGGTGTTTAACGATATTGTTGACAAAGACAACAGGTGTGTGTAATATGTTCTTTTGATTCATGACGATATATGTGATTTATAAAGAAAATGAATGCAAACAAAATAGTAGAACACCTTTTCTAGCCAGCTAACTAGCATGCTAGCAGCTAGCCTTCCGGTCATGTCATATGTAAGAAGATAACTGAGTGTGTTATAACAGATTTAGTGATGTTAATGTTTACTGCACAAGTAGCTAAACTAGTTACTGGTTAATGTGATGTACTTTACTGTATGACTGTCCAGTGGTGTAATAATGTAATAATGTACAGAGTACTGTACTTAATATGACTTTGAGGTACTTTTACCTACACTACATGTATTTAACAAAATGACTCACTAGTTACTTTACCTATTCAGACTATGAACTAATACAACATATAAATAAACGAATACTTAAACTATGATATATAATTAAATCACAATTACTTAAGTCATTAAATAAGCTCCTCCTTTGCCAGCTGTGTAACACATTAATGCATACATAATAATAATCTAGTAAATTGATATATATGATTCTGAAATGGGACATAACGCACAATGAGTACATTAAGTATATTTTGATGCCAATATTTTGGTTCTTTTAAGATTTTGGATGTAGGACTTTTATTTGTAACAACGTTTTTTTATACTAGTATTTCTACTTAATCCTCTGTGCCTGTCCCAATACACAATGTCACCCTACAATAAAGGAGCATACGAAGGAGAGATTGATTGCAGCTGGTTTACTACTTAGACAATTAGACATATAACATATAGACATACCCAAGTGACCACATACATGAGAAGAGGTTTTACCGTTCCCAGTCCATTTACTTATTTTTATATACAGTCTATGATTTACTCACACTGTGGTTGTGTCTCTCAGTGATGATGTCACAGCCCTCTCTGCTGGTCCTGTATGGCAGTCAGACCGGCACGGCCCAGGACACGGCGCAGAGGATCGGCCGCCAGGCGCAGAGGAGACGCCTGCAGGTCAACGTGCTGCCTCTGGATCACTACAACGTGGTGAGGGTGCTGCTGTTCAGTGTATCAGGGAGAGAGGGTGACCTACATCACATTCAAACAATGTGCCTTGAAGGTCACCTATTCATGTCTCTTCTACATCAACATGTGTCCCCTATTCTTCATGTCTCTTCTACATCAACATGTGTCCCCTCTTCTCCATGTCTCTTCTACATCAACATGTGTCCCCTGTTCTTCGTGTCTCTTCTACATCAACATGTGTCCCCTCTTCTTCATGTCTCTTCTACATCAACATGTGTCCCCTCTTCTTCATGTCTCTTCTACATCAACATGTGTCCCCTCTTCTTCATGTCTCTTCTACATCAACATGTGTCCCCTCTGTGTAAAGAGACTCTGAAAGTTTCAGGAACAAAGATTCTCTCTCTTTTTTTCCTGATCCATTTATATAAAAACCTGTCTGAAAACGAGCTGATCAAATTTTGCCCACAACGATGTTTTGTCTTGTGTAACCATTAGCCAATCACCGACCAAGGTAACCCCCCCCCCTCCCTCCTTATCACCTGAATCTCCTCCTAGAGCACAATTGAGTTCTTTGTAACCAAATGTCTCTCAGAGGGGCGTGGGGAGGGGCTCCTTATTTTCATCTAAAGTAACAGACAGAGAATCAGCACTTTGGAAACAGGGCTGAAACAGAGGGGATTATGGGTAATGCTGCAATGATCTGTTTGGTGTTTCAGCCAATCAGAGACAGGTTCTGTATATATCTGAAACCTGTGATATACTGATGAAAAACAGTGTAATAGGGGACCTTTTAATTCGGAAAAAAACGTTGAACATGTACCAATGTATGTAGTCGAATACAATCAGACCTAGATCTCACTAACTAGGAGGAGCAAAAATAAGTGACATGACAAAATCATGCCTTTATTGATCTAACATTTTTAAAATAATATTTGTTGTGCCGCCGAAAGATAGCATGCCAATATACAAAAAGCAACCCTCATATTGTAAGGATCAGAATTTCTTCTGTTACATCTTTATATAGTTTTCTTAACATCAGCATTACAATGACAGCATGTTCAGGCTCTAATGAACTCCTTACTACGCCTATGTTAAAACACCTCTATGTGTTCAGCTACTAAAGAGAGAAGATAAGGTGTGCTGTTTATTCAATGATCTCTTCACACCAGCGTTGTTAACAGGAGCCGTGACCTTTAATATCCGCATGTACTGTAAGTGGGACTTCATTATCCCCCACTAGGCATTAGCAATAACAGCACAGGTCTTAAGGTCCTCTATATGTACCTGAACAGCTTTTCATAATACTCCAGATAATGAAATGAACCGTGGTGGTGCATCACAATCACTCTGCGGCTGTTCCCTCTCTCTATCTGTGTCTCTGTGCAATAAGTGTGTCCTAATTGCTTTATTTAGCTGTCAAAGTTGTTTTTACGCCTCTTAATTCGCTTCTTCAGGACGTGCCGTGGTAGCTGCTGTCTCTCTCTTGACTTCAGTGGCGTGTTTGTTGCTAATTACTCAACTGGTGATGTTTTTCCCATGTCGGATTCATCTGCATCAGCTTCAGACTGCTGTATGTGCAAAACACTCCGCTCTCAGCTGGAAGTTAATGCCGCTGTGATTCAGCAAACATGGAATCAAATTATTAACTTCTGACTCGCTCCATGTGTCAGCTGGGGTTTGGTTTTCTTTCATTCACATTAACAAGTGCAGTCTAAAATGTTCACACTTCATTTAGATTCAGGCTCTTGTTTTATTCCAAAATGAGATGATTTTAGTCAGATTTACACTAGTGTACTGGGACTAAAGCAATCGTTTGAGAATACTCTTATTTATTCTTCCTGCCAAAAGTTAAACGCTAAGATTGATATCATCTTTACTCCGTCTGAAATGGATATTAATCTTCTTATCTAACTATTGGAAAGAAAGCAAAAAGGATTATTTGCCAATAAGTGAAACTGTTGATTTAATAAAGAACTGTCAGTGGGTCAGTTCAGCTTTTGGACCAAGATCTTTGCCTTTGCAGACCATTTTCACGCAGAGAGACCCAGCTGAAACCTTGATGTGGTGTTTTCTGTTTGTCTATCGATCTCCTCCACCCCCTGAGTTTTTAACACAATGGATGGCGTCACACCTACACAAGCACCCTAATTAAGCCACGCTCATTTAACCCTTTCACAGCACAAACGCCCACTTGATTAGCTGTCAGGCTTACAGTAATGAAATGCCGACATTATAAGACCCCATTTACACGCAAACTCATACGAAACGCAAACGAACCGAATACGATATCAAAAAAGTATTCCGTTCACACGAGACCGCTCGAAAGCGCTGGAGACGCTGTAGTACATATGCCGGGCCTTTACAGTAAGTGGCGCCACAAAATACACCAAAAGCAGCGAAGAAAACCCCCGAGCATGGTTGCCATGGTTGCCCTTCTGTTTATGCCCCGCGGTGGATTTAGCAACATGTAGTTCATGTAGTTCTCCATGTCCACTTGTTGCTGATGGTTGTGGTAGCGGAGCTGTAGATTTTGCACTAACATCTGTAGCATGGTGCTAC